TTTTTTTTTTTTTTTTTTTTTTTGTAAATACTAATTATATTATTTTATTATCATGTTTTCTTTATAATATATTAATACTATTATTTGGACTTAAGTGTGCGGATTTATTGTAAGTTGGGATATTTTTATTTAGTAGGTAGTGAAAATAAATAAAAAATAAGATATTTAATCTTAATTTCTAGGTCCCGCCTATGCGCTAGTCGAGCGCCGAGCAGTGGTTTTCGGTTTTTTAATCGATCATTATTATCCAAACAAAATCGACACTATAAGAATGTGATGAAATTTCAATGGAAAATTCCCACGGAAATATATTCAAATGGAATTTCAACAACAATTACAATGGATATTCCAGTGCTATTATTTAGTTGGAGTTTTCAATGAATTTCAGTGAAAATTCCAACAAAATTATTCAGTTGTAATGAGATTTTCATTGGAATTTCCGTTGAATTTTGACGCTTTCAATGGTACATTTTTCAACTGCTGAAATATGGGTGAAATAAAAATTCCATTGAAAATGGTATATTCCAACAGAAATTCCTGTGGTAAAAAACATTTGGAATAATGGCCGTTGGAATTATCAAATTCTATCTAAATTCGAATATAAAACTCATTCCAACCGTTGGAATTTTGTTTGGAGTCATTCCAACAGAAGCTATATAATTAGAATTATCTGTTGGAATATTCATTGGAGTATATATCCGTAGGTTTTTTCGTTGAATTATGACAATTTTTTTAGTAATGCGAAAACCAAAATTTTAAGAAAATTTAAACTGTAAACCAAACCAAATATTCGGTTTCGGTTTCAGTCGGTTCGGCTCGTTAACCGAACTTAGTGCACCCTACTTTCGAATTAGTGGGCTAATGAAATTGCCATGCTATGTTTTTTTCATCTCCCCTAATGACTAGTACTCATCAACTTCTAAAATTTGCAACTGCCCCATGCATGCATCAGCAACAAGTCTGAGAACTTGGGTAACAGAGAGATAGGATGGGTTTAGTTTAATCTGACATCTCCACAATACCAGTTTAGGTCTTGAGATAATTTTTTTTAAATGATCTTTCATTCTCAGGCCTGAGAATTTTGTCCAAAATGTTTCTCCCCTTCATAGTTAATTGAACACCCATTCGGCCTTTGGTTTTTCGAGCTGCTTTACGTCCATAAAAATGCTTCAGTCGTCGGCAGAAGATGCTGGCTGCCCGTGCAAAGCTCTGGCTGAAACATAACCCTCTTGAACAAGAGTTACCAAGGCTTAGAGGCTGTCAGCACAAAAGCAGTCCGAGAGAAAGAAGCTTGGTCTTGGGGCCAATAGACATAAGGAAAATAAACACACACCACTTGATCTCGAGTAGGCCCATTAACATGCAATTACCACATTTCTTCTCAGTCCTCACCTTCTTCCCCCCAGAGTCATCACAAACACATACCTCATCACAAAGCAGCCAGCTGTCTTGACGAGCCAATCAGATGACTTGTCCGAAAAAGGATCCCAGCATAATATATCCAATCGAGTAAACGGAGGCTGAAGCTTCCTCCTTGTTGTTTAAAAAAGATTGTAACTCTAAGTAGTCACTTTGCACCAAATTATCATTTCAGAAGTTCATGAACCTTAACATACAATGGATAAATCACGAAATACATTAAAGCAAGCAAACCAAAATCATTTTATTTGTTCTTCTTTTTTGCAAGATATATATTATATTTTTTCCACAAACCTAAATAACTAAGGTTGTACATGATTATGTACTGGTATTTTTACAGTAGAACTAAGTGATACCTTTCCTTAAATATGCCTTCATTGATCTGAATTAATATAACTGATTCTTGAAGCCTTATAGCAAACTTGATGTTAACTTGACCATTTGTCACACAATACATTTCCTCAGCCATGTGAAGTGCAGCGTGTACTCACGAGTCGCGTGTGCCTGCCCACAAAGGATTTGATCTTGCAATTTGACTCACTTATTTGAAAGAATCCATTGCTAGTGTGCATGCATGTGAAGTTGTGAATGCTTACTCATAAAAAAACTATGTTTAAAAAAATCCCATCCTACCAACATAAACAAGAAATGAGCATGATATTAAGAATGTAATTGGGCTTAATAGTGCCCCTCCAACTCCACAAGGATGTTTTTGTGAGGCAAAACTGGATCAAGAATTTTATAAAACTCCCCAGCCTTACATGATATGGGGTTGATCCATCCGATTTCCCCGGTAGCAATAACCACGTAGAAAACAACAACCCTTTAAACACCAACACCTCCATCTGCTGCAACCAACCGATCGGCTGAATACTAAACAAATATTGAATTTCACTTCCCAACACGATATCACGTTCCCATTCCCTCCAATAATGATAATAATAATCCCTGTACACCATCTCCCAAACTCGAAACACTCGATGCTCAACTTCAACCACTAGAGTGAGGGACTTCCCCGTTGACAGGTACCGCTTCTTGTGCTTAGCATACTCGGACATTGGGGCCCTCATCTCCGTCATAACCTCCGTCTCCACATTCAGCGTCCGAACAGTGTCTCCAAAAATCGAATGAATAAAACCCTCTGTCACCAACAGGTTCCCTGTCATAAGTTCTGTCAAATGCTCGGTTGCAAGATGCCTCCATGACTTGTCGACACCCACGGTGAATATGGCCCGCCTCAGGTCCCATCCCTCATCATAGTATGCCAAGACCACCTTATACGCCTTTGAGGCCTCCGCGCACCCCACGCAACAATGCATACACTTTGCATATTTGGGGAGCGGAGGGAGTTGGAAGGGTCGTCCCGCGACAGGGTTGGCCACGTGGACTTTGGACATTCGTGTGTAAAAGTCGTACTCGAGGATGAGGCCGCTGCAGCTACTCCGTAAGGTAAATCTGGATTCGTAAGAGTAGTAATCGGATACCGTGACACGACCCTGTTTCATAGACAAGAAAACGGGGCGTGGGGAGGAATGTTGATCATTACGTGTTGGGGCATATCGGAAAAAGAGGCCGTATTGGTCAGTTTGGCGGAGGTGGAGGTTTATGAATTCCTCGGAGCCGATCGTGTGGTAGTACAGGGTACGGCAGACACGGCTTACCCTGCAATAAATGTCTTGAGCAGGGACGTTCAAGAGAATCTTGCAGAGAAGATCGTCGGGAAGGGAAAGGAGGTTGTTTTGGGCACAAACGTCGGCTTGCTTCTCCCCCTCTGCTTCAACTTCGCCGGACGAAGGTGGAGACGACGGCGGCAGGCGAAAGATTAACGATGGAAATTTGGCCATTACGATTCTGTTATGTTGTGCAAATATGTTTCCTAATGCACTAATAAATAGGAGCACCAAATTTGCTCAACACGGATGATACAACACTCTAAAATATAAATTTGGTTCGAAAATCTTAATGATTTTCTTGTTATGGAAGCCAAATAAATTAAGAAGAAAAAGGTATACTTTTCCTTTTGTATTTATTAAAATTTCTTATATAAGAGATACTAGATTTATTTATTGTAGTTAGACTTGACTAGTAATATCTAGTAGTATCTTAATTATTTTTTTACCATATTTAACTAATACATTGTTTTAGTGAGTTTTCTTGATGCATGGAGTATTTAGAGGACGAAAGAGACAAAAAAATGCGCAAAATACTGAAAACGACATAAAGATATGTAAACGAGTCAAATCAACCTAATAGACCGAAAAAAAAACCTATAAAACGAATTCAAATTATCTCGAAAAAAAATCATAAAATCACACAGAGATGCTAACAAAAACATACACAACACTCTACTTTTGTAACTTGTGATAGATTCAAAATATGTTTTATTAAGGTGAGACCATGAGCCCATAAAGATTGGATTTATATTAAAAAAATTATTTACGACTGATGTGCAAGGATTTTTACAATGTATATCTTATTTGTACATGTTGGTCTAACACTTGCACAAAAGAATTTTTTTTTGGTACAGGGACCTTCCGGTTTCCGAATCCACAGGGGAACCGACTAATTCGGAATCGAGTCGGGTAGGACCACAAGGGCGGCAAAGCTCACAAAAGAGTTTTGAATATTTGGCTTCCTCAATTTACATGAATTTATATTGTTAATAACAATTTCGAATTAGTGTGCCAATAAGATTACCAGCAATGTACATGGATTTATATTGCTTGCATCTCCCTTAATAACTACTCTAGTTCTAAAATTTGCAAATGCCGCATGCATGCGCCAACAACAAATCTGAGAACTTTAGTAACAGACATATAGGATGGGTTGGGTTGGGTTGGGTTTAATCGACCCTTCGAATTTTAGTATTACACGACAGGCAAAATTTTAAAATTGGTCCTATAACTTGATTATAGTCTAAAAAACCACTCCACTTTCAATCTAAGTCTTATAATTTGTCCATTTCATCAAATTTTGTCCTTTTTTATCCATACACCGGATAAAAAAGTGACGTGGCGTTTTGAAATCTGACATGGCGTTTTTTTATCTGACATAAGCGTGATGTGGCGACTACATTTGTACTTTAATTAAATTAATTAGGCCATGTAGGAATGATGAGTTTTTTTTATTAAAATTAAAACTTAAAAAACAAAATATTAAAACAAAAAAAGAAAGAAATAAAAAAGGGATTGCAGACTTCGTTTCCCCAGCAGCATCCGTCGGCTTCTTCCTCCTAATTCCAGGTTCTCATTCTATTTCTTCCTATGCACATCTCTTGTGGGAGTCCGTCTACTAGCCGCTTGTTTAGCGTCCAGCAACAACACCTCCACCGCCGCGGTCAAGGCCGCCATTTTCAAGAGCTCCGCTCCTTGATATCCGCCGGAAAATCGGGTTGCTGTAAAATTCGTCGGACCTGGAAAATTGAGATGGTGGATATCGTTGGGTTCACAATGGTCTGAGGAATCCAGATGTGTCCACAGATTTCGTTGGGTCGGAGAAAATCGCCTGAAAATTGATGAAGAAAACAGAATTTTAACCGGATCTAAACACTTTGACCAGAGCAATTAACGACCTTACAAGTGAATTTTTTGCCGGAAATTCTATGAGGTTAACAAGGATGACAAGAGCTTCAAGATGATATAGAAAAAAATGGATCGGATGTGGACGGTCGGCGGCGACAGCGGAGGAGGAGGCGGCAGATGAATAGAGATAGCAGGGTACGGATAAAAGCTTATGTGGATTTTTAAAATTTAAGTAAATATTTCCTAATCCTGCCAGGTAAAACATAGTCACGCCATGTCAGATTTCAAAATGCCACATCACTTTTTTATCCGAGGTATGGATAAAAAAGGACCAAATTTGATAAAATGGACAAATTATAGGACTCAGATTGAAAGTGGTCAACATAGGGGTGGCTTTTTGGACTATGGCTATAACATAGGACCAATTTTAAAATTTTGTTTTACACGACAATACTAGTTAAGATCTTGAGATAATTTTGTCCAAAATGTTTTCTACCCTTCATAGTTCATCGAATACCCATTCTGCCTTTGGTTGTTCGAGTTGGTTTTCAGGAGTCCTGCGAATTTTGTCCAACAACCATTTGTTACCTTAGCCACGTGCTTACGTCAATAAAAATGCTTCAGTCGCCGGCAGGAGATGCTGGCTGCCCTTGCAAAGCTCTGGCTGAAAAACATAAGGAGTCGGAGGGAAAGAAGCTTGGTTTTGGGCTCAATAGAAAAAACGAGACGTAAGGAAAATAAACACACACCACTCTAAAGGGTGTGTGGATCAAGCAAAACACAATCTGTTAGAGAATTATGCGCATCCAACCTAGCTCCCAATGCAATCTCTCGTCCGCATTACCATTAATCCCGACATCATCTCCCAAACAAAGAAAGAATATCATCCAGACAATGAATCTTTATATAGACATTCCAATAGACAGATGAGTCATGCTC